CTATCTTGAGAAAATACCACTTAGGTTCTCCTCTACACATATATGTGGTTGATTATATCCTAGAACATACTGACTTTCGCTAAATGAAGTTCCAACTAGTTTAGGCAGCCGGTTTTTTTGTATGTGGCATTTACTGATTACTGAAGTAAGAGGGCCTGTTCTATACTTTGATATTGTTAGATAGCATCAAAATTATAGCTCATTGGGAATAGTTGGCATCTTCTTTATCTATCCTGTTCCTTATCAGTTATTTCTGCTTTAGGCAAAGGGACTTGATATTCTTTTTTGGTTTTTTTTGCGGTACGCGGGCCTCTCACTGTTGTGGCCTCTCCCGTTGCGGAGCACAGGCTCCGGACGCGCAGGCTCAGCGGCCATGGCTCATGGGCCCAGCCGCTCTGTGGCATGTGGGATCTTCCTGGACCGGGGCACGAACCCCTGTCCCCTGAATCAGCAGGTGGACTCTCAACCACTGCGCCACCAGGGAAGCCCGACTTGATATTCTTTAAGTAACACTAGGCCCAACGTCTAGAGATATTTTAGACCTGTGCCATACAATATGGTAAGCACTAGCCTCATGGCTTTTATACATGTAAGATGTGGCTAGTTCAAATTGAGATTTGCTTTTCAAAGCTTAGTATGAAAAAAACTCATTAAATTTTTAAAATATTGATTTTATGTTGAAATATATTTGGGATATACTGGGTTAAATAGAGCATAATATTAAAACTAATTTCACCTGTTTCTTTTTACTATTTTCATTGAGACTACTAGACAATTTAATTACATATGTACTGTATTTCTGTTGGACAATATTGATCTATAATAGTAAACCATTTCAGTGAATGTGTTTTAGCTGTCAGTGATATTTTTTTTTTTTGCGGTACGCGGGCCTCTCACTGTTGTGGCCTCTCCCGTTGCAGAGCACAGGCTCCGGACGCGCAGGCTCAGCGGCCACGGCTCACGGGCCCAGCCGCTCCGCAGCATGTGGGATCCTCCCGGACCGGGGCACGAACCCGTGTCCCCTGCATCGGCAGGCGGGCTCTCAACCACTGCGCCACCAGGGAAGCCCCTGTCAGTGATATTTTTAATGTCAGTTAGTTATTTGTATTCAAATGTTTGTTCTCCTTACAACAAAAGGAAATTTTGGCATTTTGATTTTTTTTTTAGGCCTCTCAAAGAACAGTTTTCTAGATCTTCATTTCGCATACTAAATTTTATGAGAATCATAATATCATTGTATGTTGTTGTTTCCTCAAATAAGAAAATGTTGGGAATTCTCTGGTGGTCCAGTGGTTAGGACTTGGTGCTTTCACTGCTGGGGCCCCGGATTCGATCCCTGATTGGGGAACTAAGATCCCGCAAGGTGTGTGGCACGGCCAAAAAAAAAAAAGAAGAAGAAGAAAATGTTTACCACAATAGACTTTGAGAGCTGATTTTCATTACCCAATAGCCACTTAAATTTTTTAATGCAAAGAAGGCATCTGACCCTCAGAATGGGAGAAAGTATTTGCAAACGAATCAACGGACAAAGGATTAATCTCCAAAATATATAAACAGTTCATGCAGCTCAATATTAAAAAAACAACCCAATCCAAAAATGGGCAGAAGACCTAAACAGACATTTCTCCAAAGAAGACATACAGATGGCCAAGAAGCACATGAAAAGCTGCTCAACATCACTAATTATTAGAGAAATGCAAATCAAACCTACAATGAGGTACCACCTCACACCAGTTAGAACGGGCATCATCAGAAAATCTACAAACAACAAATGCTGGAGAGGGTGTGGAGAAAAGGGACCCTTCTTGCACTGTTGGTGGGAATGTAAATTGATACAGCCACTATGGAAAACAGTATGGAGGTTCCTTAAAAAACTAAAAATAGAATTACCATATGATCCAGCAATCCCTCTACTGGGCATATACCCAGAGAAAACCACAATTCAAAAAGACACATGCACCCCAATGTTCATTGCAGCACTATTTACAATAGCCAGGTCATGGAAGCAACCTAAATGCCCATCTACAGATGAATGGATAAAGAAGTTATGGTACATGTATACAATGGAATATTACTCAGCCATAAAAAGGAACGAAATTGGGTCATTTGTTGAGACGTGGATGGATCTAGAGACTGTCATACAGAGTGAAGTAAGTCAGAAAGAGAAAAATATCGTATATTAATGCATATATGTGGAACCTAGAAGAATGGTAGAGATGAACCAGTTTGCAGGGCAGAAATTGAAACATAGATGTAGAGAACACAGATGTAGGAACACCAAGGGGAGAAAGCAGCAGGGGTGTGTGTGTGTGTGTGATGAATTGGGCGATTGGGATTGACATGTACACACTGATGTGTATAAAATTGCTGACTAATAAGAACCTGCTGTATAAAAATAAATAGAGAAAACCTATTTATTAGGTTTGTAGACATGTGTACAATTAAAAAAAAACCACTACTGTTAACCTTGGCAAAAAAAAAGACTATACATTTTCCTGTAAGCACAGGTTTAGTCACATCCAAGTTTTGGTGTGTAATATTTTTATTATCATTCAGTTCAAATTATTTTCTAACTCCAATTGTGATTTGTTTTTTGGGGGGTTACTTAGAAGTACTGTATTTCATAACTTCTAGTTACTTTTTTGTTACTGATTTGTAGCTTAACTACAAGTCAAGAAACACACTTTGTATAATTTTAATACTTTGAAATTTGTTAAAATTTGCCTTATAGCACAATATGGTCAGTTTTTAAAATGTTCGAAGCGTGCTTGAAAATAATTTGTAATTTAAAGTTTTGGAGTATAGTGACTATATATCTGCGTGTTGAATCAAATTTGCTGCTCACGTTATTTAAGTTTTTTATATCCTTGCTAATTTTTTTTGGGGGGGGGGGTCTCCTGGTTCTTTTTTTTTTTTTTTAACATCTTTTTTGGGGTATAATTGCTTTACAATGGTGTGTTAGTTTCTGCTTTATAACAGAGTGAATCAGTTATACATATACATATATTCCCATATCTCTTCCCTCTTTGTCTCCCTCCCTCCCACCCTCCCTATCCCACCCCTCCAGACAGCCACAAAGAACCGAGCCGGTTTCTCTGTGCCATGCGGCTGCTTCCCACTGGCTATCTACCTTACGTTTGTTAGTATATATATGTCCATGTCTCTCTCTCGCCCTAACACACCTCACCCTTCCCCCTCCCCATATCCTCAAGTCTGTTCTCCAGTAGGTCTCTGTCTTTATTCCTGTTTTACCCCTAGGTTCTTCATAACATTTTTTTTTTCTTAAATTCCATATATATGTGTTAGCATACGGTATTTGTCCTTCTCTTTCTGACTTACTTCACTCTGTATGACAGACTCTAGATCTATCCACCTCATTACAAATAGCTCAATTTCGTTTCTTTTTATGGCTGAGTAATATTCCATTGTATATATGTGCCACATCTTCTTTATCCATTCATCCGACGGCGGGCACTTAGGTTGTTTCCATCTCCGGGCTATTGTAAATAGAGCTGCAATGAACATTTTGGTACATGACTCTTTCTGAATTCTGGTTTCCTCAGGGTATATACCTAGTAGTGGGATTGCTGGGTCATATGGTAGTTCTATTTGTAGTTTTTTAAGGAACCTCCATACTGTTCTCCATAGTGGCTGAACCAATTCACATTCCCACCAGCAGTGCAAGAGTGTTCCCTTTTCTCCACACCCTCTCCAGCATTTATTGTTTCTAGATTTTTTGATGATGGCCATTCTGACTGGTGTGAGATGATATCTCATTGTAGTTTTGATTTGCATTTCTCTAATGATTAATGATGTTGAGCATTCTTTCATGTGTTTGTTGGCAGTCTGTATATCTTCTTTGGAGAAATGTCTATTTAGGTCTTCTGCCCATTTTTGGATTGGGTTGTTTATTTTTTTGTTATTGAGCTGCATGAGCTGCCTGTAAATTTTAGAGATTAATCCTTTGTCAGTTGATTCATTTGCAAATATTTTCTCCCATTCTGAGGGTTGTCTTTTGGTCTTGTTTATGGTTTCCTTTGCTGTGCAAAAGCTTTGAAGTTTCATTAGGTCCCATTTGTTTATTTTTGTTTTTATCTCCATTACTCTAGGAGATGGGTCAAGATCTCCTGGTTCTTAAAGTGAATGACAGCAGTGTGTTAAATCTCCTATTATGATAGTGAATTTGTCTATATTTTTTCCTTGTAGCTCTGTTGCTCTATATAATTTGAAGTTAAGTGCATACAAATTTAAAACTTCCTGGTAAATTGGTCTTGTTGATATGAAGTGCCCTTGTTTATTTCTAGTAATGCTTTTGCTTTCAAGTCTACTGTATCTGTTATTATGTAATTTACTTTTGGTTTATATTTGCACAGTATATCTTTTCCAATTCTTTTACTTTCAACCTTTTTGTACCGTTATGTTTTGTTTTTTTAATAAATTTTTAAAAATTAAAAAAAAGGAAGGCATCTGGACATATGCCTTTAGTTATTTTCGTACTGTTTCTGTACGTTATTGATACTTATTTGCAAAAAATGTGTAACTTTTAGTTTTTCCTGATTTCATTGCTTTGTTTAGATTTTTCTATAGAGACTACTAAGGAGATTTCTGAATGAAAATGCTTTTCAGAAGCTTGGATTTTTTTGCTTGTACATTTCTTCCCCAGAGCAGTTGTGTTCTGTAGTTAGAGCTTCTGTGATTTTTTTGTTTTTTTAATTTTTAATAGGAAATTGGAAATGGAAAGCTGTGTTCCCTGTTTGTTTTATGGTTACTTTATTGCTCTTGCCTCTTAAAGTAGGTTCATGGCTTTGGTTCTTAAAATGTTTGTTTTTGTGGTTAATTTCCCTAGAAACACTAAACTAGGTTAATAAAAAAGGGCGTGTTTAGAGGTTACTGGATGGTAAATTAATTATTCACTTGATTCTAGATTATGGTTGAATAAAGCAGCCATTCTTCCAAAAACATTTACAGAAGGTCACTTTCTAATCTGATTCCCTTTTCAGGCACTACAGACACCACCTCCAACAACACCGCAGCTGTGATTTCCACAGCGCCTCCAGCTTCCTCAGCAGTCACTTCCCCTTCTCTGAGTCCCTCCCCCTCTGCCTCAGCCTCCACCTCTGAGGCATCCAGTGCCAGTGAGACCAGCACAACACACACCACCTCCACTCCTTTGTCCTCTCCTCTTGGGACCAGCCAGGTGATGGTGACAGCATCAGGGTTGCAGACAGCAGCAGCTGCTGCCCTCCAAGGAGCTGCACAGTTGCCAGCAAATGCCAGTCTTGCTGCCATGGCTGCGGCTGCAGGACTAAACCCAGGCCTGATGGCACCCTCACAGTTTGCAGCTGGGTAAGGTGCTTTCTCATCTTGTTTACATCTGAGAAACAGCTAGGAGGTCATCCCTGGAGTTACTTGTAGGGAATACTTTTTCATCACTATCTTAAATGCAAAAAAAGACAAAAAAACAAAAAAAATCCTTTAAAGCCATAATCTCTTTGAAATGGGTTGCTCTATAGTAGTAGCACAAGGATTTTGATTATGGTTGGAATTAAGTTTCTTAACACTCTGGAAGGACAGTAGCCATACCTTTATTTCTAGATGAAGACAGAGAACACCAGGCCACTGATTATACCTGAGTGATGGGACCAGGAAGAAAGCCCAGGATTCCTGACTCTTATTCTTATGCTTTCTCCATTAAGCTCTGAACTCTCTGCTTTCTAATTCTCAAACATAAATAAGAGATACAGTAATAGGAGTCCCAATTTTATATTACCATCAAACAAATAAGAATTACTTTGTAAATATATTCCTTTCTCTGGCATTTTTTTCCTTTTGTTTTGGAAAAAAGGAGAGTGAAGTAATTCGAAGAGTCAGAATGACTGCAAGTTTTACATTTTGTGTGGACCATAACCTTGTTTTGCTTTGTACAAGTGAGCGTCAAGGAAAGCAGTAACTTGGAAGTACTGACCAAACCATATAAGACTGTAAAGAGAGTAACATATTTCCATATACTTCCCCAGTTGTATTTTCCTTTTTCTTATCCATTTGGGTATGTTGTCAAACTGACACAGGCATCTACATTGTAAAAAAGTGACTGCTCTTTTGTACTTTCAGAGGTGCCTTACTCAGTCTCAATCCAGGGACCCTGGGTGGTGCTCTCAGCCCAGCTCTGATGAGCAACAGTACACTGGCAACTATTCAAGGTCAGTAGAATTTTTTTCCATACTTAGCCTTTTTTTTTTTTTAATGGTGGAAGTCTGCTTTGCTAGAGGTGAAAGTGATGGGAGGAGATAGTTGAATTGATAATGCTCACTAACCTGAGGACCAAGAATGTGTCCTCGTAAACAGCTTTGTAAGAGAAGTATAGGTGTCGGTCTGTAAGAACAGAAAGTATACTTAGTTTGGTGTATTAGGACTTCCCTGGCAGGCCAGCGGTTACGACTCCGAGCTTCCACTATAGGGGACGCGGGGGGTCCTATCCCTGGTTGGGGAACTAAGATCCCACATGCCACATGGTGTGGCCAAAAAAAAAGAAAGAAAGAAACAAGGACTTTAATGCTGATATTTATCTTCTTATGTAAATAGACTTGGAGGCAGAATTTCCTTCTACATTTATCTTAATAGTCATCCAAGACCCATCCCCAGGCAAACTTGACCAAGAAAAGTTCTCCAGTCCCCACCCCCGCCCCTAAGAGAGCCGTATACAAGAAGGCCCTATAACAAATTAACATTGGAGCACATCATGCAGACTTCAGGAGTAATTTTAATTCTTGTTAGGTTCTTCCCTTTGTATATCCCCATCATAAGAGAGCATATATTCTCTTGGATTTTAATGTCTCTTTTCCAAGCCCAGATGGGTCCCTTTTGGCCTTAGCATGCTATCCAGTCTAAAATGAGTCTAAATCCACTCATTCTATATATTGAAGGGTTTGATTTGTTTAACGTCTGAGCTTTGTGTTTGAAGATGCTTGCTGTTACATGATTCAAGGAAACACTTTGAGATATCACTATATTAATCTGAGAAATTTTTCTTAAAATAATTTGGGCTTAAATGAGAGTTCTTGGGGCCAAAAATAAGCTGTTAGCGAACTTCAATTAAGATTAGTGTTTTGGGCTTCCCTGGTGGCACAGTGGTTGAGAGTCCGCCTGCCGATGCAGGGGTCACAGGTTCATGCCCCGGTCCGGGAAGATCCCACATGCCGCGGAGCGGCTGGGCCCGTGAGCCATGGCCACTGAGCCTGCGCATCCGGAGCCTGTGCTCCGCAACGGGAGAGACTACAACGGTGAGAAGCCCGCGTACCGCAAAAAAAAAAAAAAAGTAGCGTTTCATGGATGATATCCATGAAATGATTGGACAATATTAGTTCCAAACAAATCTAAAACATGACCTAGATTACCTTACATTATATTGACTTTCTCATTGACTAAATCATATGTGAAATTGATGGTTAGATCTGTAAAGCTTTTATTATAAAAGGATTTCTTTTTGGAGTAAGATTTGTGATAAATCACATTTTCTCTTGCATTTCGGTGTACCTCTGGGCTGTAGTGATACTAAAAAGGCAAGATGCCTTCCATAGGGCATAACTGAGTACAGAACAGGTACTCTCTGGGAAGATCTAGAACTGGACTGTGACCCTAAGCCTGGAATCTCAGAAAATGTCAAGCTGCACCAAGACTCACTGTTCTGTACTCTTTGTGTCATCATGTCCAAAGTCAAGGACATTCCCTCAGCTCCTCTCTCTTTCTTTATATATTATGTAAGAAATCAATCATTTTTAATGCCACTAGGAAATATATGTGCCTCAAATATACATGTGAGTATGTGGTTATATGAGTGAGGGGATTGTGGGGGGTTGTCAGATACAGGAAAAGATATTAGAGTGCCCAATTATTTTAATGAAAATTTTGATGATGAAGGAGAAGCAACAGCATCACAGAAAAATTCTTACGTATTAAAGCAAGTCCTAAGCTTAGACCCTACCTGCATCAGTATAGCTCTGCTTTCCTTCTGCAGAGACTCATCATTCTCCTTTGTGCAGGTCATAGAAATTAAATGTTTTGAAGTAAGAAACGAATCACACCTTATACTTTATTTGTTAATATATAACTTATTTTAGAACTAAAGTCTTTTCGAAAGACAGTTTTTATCTTGTATATCACACTATAAAGTGCTCAAATTTATCAGTAATGCCAGTTGGTTTGATAAAAGCTAACTATATTTTAACGCCTGAATCGCTGTAGCTAGTTTGTTTTTTGAATGGAGGTAATCTAAAGGTAGTGATCTTCATTAAAAACAAAATTATTGGATTTAACAAATATTTCTAGGTAGATGGAATAAAGTTGAGATTTCAAGATAGAAACATGACTCTTTGATTCTCCTCTCACCTATCCTGATCATGCTCATTAAATTAGAGTTTTCAGGGGGCTTCCCTGGTGGCGCAGTGGTTGGTGGTCCGCCTGCCGATGTGGGGGGCGTGGGTTCGTGCCCTGGTCCGGGAGGATCCCGCGTGCCGCGGAGCGGCTGGGCCCGTGGGCCATGGCTGCTGGGCCTGCTCATCCGGAGCCTGTGCTTTGCGGCGGGAGGGGCCGCAGCGGTGAGGGGCCCGCATACCACAGGGGGAAAAAAAAAATTAGAGTTTTCAGCCCTTTAGGCTCTTTCAAAATTATAAATAAACTTTAGTTGGTGACAATATAGTGCTGTAATTAAGGGTAAAAAATTCAGTCAATGGATGCGCTTTTTCCATCTGGGTTGTGCGAAAACTCAGTACATTTGATGTGTTGTTTGGCTTCTCTGGGATGATGCTAACATTCTCCTTCCTGCCTGTTTTGCGGGGGGTTTGTCTGTAGCTCTTGCTTCTGGTGGCTCTCTTCCAATAACGTCACTGGATGCAACTGGGAACCTGGTATTTGCCAATGCGGGAGGAGCCCCCAACATCGTGACTGCCCCTCTGTTCCTGAACCCTCAGAACCTCTCTCTGCTCACCAGCAACCCAGTTAGCTTGGTCTCTGCCGCTGCAGCCTCTGCAGGGAATACTGGACCTGTAGCCAGCCTCCATGCCACCTCCACCTCAGCTGAGCCCCTCCAGACCTCTCTCTTCACAGCGGCCTCTGCCAGCGGCGCTGCCTCCACCACCACCGCCTCCAAGGCACAGTGAGCTGGGCTGAGTGACGCTGCCAGCCCCCTTCTTCACTCCGAGTGCAACTGGCTGCCAGCCTGGCTGAGACTGAAACACGTGATGGGCTTCCTCTTGCCGTGTTGCAAGGGCAAGGGAGAAGAGGGAGAGAAGAAAAAACACATGCCGGAAAAAAGGATGGAAATGGGACAACATTTGCCTAATTTTGTAATAAAACACTGTCTTTTCAGGATTGCTTCATGGATTGGAGAACTTTCTAACCAAAAATTTTAAAAAAACAACAAAAAAAAGGCAGAAACAAAAAATCAAAAACAAACAAAAAAATAAGTGAAAGGACTACTTATCATTTCCAGCAGTCATGATGACGAGTTAAGGTGGGTTACCAATTCCAATATAGGAAGGGGATTTCTTGTTTGTCTAAATTTCTTTTTTTCTTAAAAAAAAAATCATTTTTATGGGTCTGTTGTACAGGCCATTAAGTCATAACAAGGTGTTTATAATCGTATCAATTGTGTTGGGGGTTCCTTTCTTAACTGGTACAATTTAGGCAGGCCTGTATTACTGTATCTCTGTTGTTATTGTTGTTGTTGTTGTTATTGTTTTTTATATATATATATAGTTTGGACATGTTTATCTCTTGCTCCTGGATCCTATTTCAGTGAGCTCCCACACTGTGGGGCGGGAGGGTTTTAGGGTAAGGGGGACTTAACGTTCTTAATTGCGGGGAATGTTCTTGCTGGTTTCCTTATCCTTGATGACTCTTACAGAGGTGCTTGAAAATTATTTTCTTTTGCCACTTATGCAAGAGGCTTGGTGCAGAAGCTGAAGGCAGTGTGTGCAAACACTCCCACTCCACACACGCCCCCTCCCCCCCCATCAGGTGGTGCCTTTGGAGCACTTTTGCGTAGGAAGGAATTACTGCTGAAC